CAATGGCTATTAGGTGATTTTATACCTAACTCTGAAGACGAAGACGCTCCTAAATCAGCGACACATCAAATTTGCAAACTTCCAAGGTGAAATTTTACGCATTTGAATTATGATAAAGAAAAGGTTCATAATTTTTCACAGAAGGTATAAGAACTATTACTAGTTTCTCCTTGATGAGTGAGTTAACCATAATTGTTAAAATTTTGGAAAGCTCCGATTTTGGTTTCTTTTTAAATTAAAAATTTACAATTAATGTTACCATGAGTTAAGTTAATATTTTAATTTCTGTTATGTATAAAAATAAAAACTTAATGCGTTTCATTTTTCAGATTATTGATAAGCAATTTAAAATGAGAAAATAAAACTTCAAATTTACGATTCTGTAAATGACTCATTCATTTTAAACGTTTTAATAATCCCTTTTAAACTTTTGCTGTTAAACAAATGAAAACTAGACTCTCTTTAGGGAGGGGATAATAAATTATACAAAACCAAAACTTGTCAGTACTGAAGCTAATTTTTTTATGTATTTCTTATATAAAATTCACCAATACATTAGTCACATTACATTAACATAATGCATTAAAATAGTAACAGACTAAAAAAACAACAACGCTGAACTAGATCATATTTAAATCCTTCAGCAGACATCGACAATCATATATCGTATGGCATAGTAAAATTTTCGATAACAATACATTTGTTAAATAGTAACAAAAGTCTCACAATAAAGATTACGATTTAAATAGAGACATTAAAAATCGCGTGACAGAATTCTTTCTTTCTAAAGCTTCATTAAAATAAGTAACTTTGTATACGAGTGTTGCTCGTTGTTCTAATAACATTCGAATAAGTCAGGCGTCAAATTGTTAAAATAATTTTCATCCATCATTTTTCAATCTCCCGCTTATTCGTTTCTTTTTTAACCTAATTGAAAGACGTTTAAGGATCATTCAAAACATCAATTCATGTAATTTGAAAAATTAGTTTTTTAAGGACACTTACATTTAATTAAAAGCTACCACAAAGTACTTTTTTTTCCGCTTGTGTTACGAGAAAAAAAAATTATCTTTAAAATTTGTTTATGTAGGAAAAATGAGCACGATATTTGATTCAAAATAAATATAATTTATTGTAAATCACCTATTTACTGTCACGTTAGAGTCTAACTTCTTTGGCATAAAATATTAATACAGGTAAAATATAACAGTAAAAGCTTGTAATACTTATTTAAAAATATAAAAAATTTAAAAACTTATAAAATCTTCGGAATTACTACTTTTTATTCTTCCATTTCACAAATGTGATAATAATTGATACGCAACTATGCAAAGTGGAATTTCCAAATCATGCGAAATGAAACTTACGTAAGTTTGTGAAAAAAACTGAAGGGAAAAAAAAGATCCTTGTACAGGGCAAAAGAAGTTACTCAAGAGTGAGTTTTAGTAAAATCGATATTTTTTTTAAACTTTATTATCATTTGTTTTAAGTTATCGTACTTCAGTATTTATTTAATACAAAAGACAAAAAAAAATTATACGAATTTTAATTGAACCTTAAAAAAGGTTAACAAAAATAGACGTAAGTAGAAATTTCAATAGCGGAATAGATTGAATGTAGTGTCCATGCCATAATTAAGTACTCAAAACATAATTAAGTACACATAATTAATAAACATAATTAAGTACTCAACTTAAGGAAACCAAACGGTATTATAAACTGAGTCTGACAAGAAAAATTACTGGATTTAGTTACGGATTTCTTGTTTACTTTTCTTTTCAGGTAGAGAAGCGTTTGTCACAAAACAAGTCAATAGGAAATATAAAAAAAATTTTAACTATCTCAATGATTGTATAATGAAATTGTTTAAACATTAAGCTACATATTTATTTACGAAATCTTTCTTCCGTGTTTTAAAAAATAATTAATATAGTAGTATTAAGTAAATAAAATTAAGTCCCGCAGTGGACTGATCGTTAAGACACGGTTCCCAGCAGATCACCGAAGTCAAGCATCACTGGCTGCGGTCAGTGTGCGGGTGGCAGACTGATCCAAGTAGTCACCACTTGAATCAGTCTGCGTAGGGACCAAGGGTGTGCTGTATTGGTCCTCGTTAAACTGTTCTACCGTAAAGTGCTCGACTTCGCGTGCAGGTCGCCTGTCTACAGAAGCGGGGGTGCCATCCCCTCTGCTGAGGATCAAAACTGTGATGGCATGTCTTCGGATCATCCTCAGGGATGTTTCCCAGATCGTCGCCAATAGCCCATTGCGCAACTCTAGTGAGACGTAAATGAACAAATCAAATAAAATTAAGATTAACGAATTCTCACATTTCCCAAATTACAAATTATTTTAAAGATAAATAAAAAGAAATGATACGATTAAAATCACTATGCTCAAAAGGGGTACAATCCTTTATTTTTTAACAATATTATGGATTAAATAAAAGCCATATTATGGATTTATAAAACTTATGCTCTTACACAAACAGATTCCCGTCTTAAGAATATTAAGAAAAATTTATTTTTTAACTTAAAAAATAAAATAAGTAATTTTCCATCACTAAGTTAAAAAACAAACAAAATGTTTTAAAATAACTCTTTCTCTACAATTTCGATGCATTGTGATGACTTAGTTAAGCGAAAAAAAAACTTTGGTTGCCATAAAAATTATTTTTGTCTATCCCGGGAAGCAACGGAAATAATTTGGATTCCATTTAAGCCCATTCAATAGGAAAAATAAATTTAGCAATTCCAATATAGATTTAAAACGAGGTTATATTCAATGTTTCTAGGAATAGAATTTTAAGTAAATGTGGTCAAATATACAAAATTACGCAAGAAGTTATTGATTTGTTTTTAATAGTTTCATTCATACTGAAAATGAAAAAAAAAAAGAAAATCATTTTCAAAAAAATTTTAATTTCTGTGCAAATTTTCTTAAGACAAATAGCTATTTCAAAATAATTTGTTCTATTTGTAATAAATTTTCCAGTCAATTAAAACAAAAATTTGAAAATAACTGCATTTGAAATAAATGCATTTAAAGGTATTCCAAATTCTTCTACGAATTCCATGTGCATTTTAATCAACTATTCCAGAACTGTATCATCCGAACATTTTTTTTTACATAAAATTCGACAATTTCACGTTCAAAAGAAAATTTATAAATCGTGAATGTTACGCCACTTAAATCCGTGTCTCAGTTGCACAAAAAATGAATTTTCTGTGAAATTTACGATTTTATTTTTATTTTGAAGTGAAGTTCCCTTGAATGTACAGTAATCGAATCACCCTAAATAACTTATAATCCAATGATCGAATCTTCACGTTCTAGGACTCAATCTTAATGGCTGATGTGGTTGACCTCAAATACGTTAATTAATCCAAACGATATTTTAAGTTGCTAGATACACGAAATGTTACTTTCTCTTAGTAAACATTCGCATTTTTGACCCCCAAAATATAGGATTCAGCCACAATCAAGGAAATAGGGTCCCTATAGTTTGGTCAGGAAGATCTTATCCCTTGGATCCCTTAATGTTAATTATCACCATATCTCGTAAACTTCTTAAGCGAATTGAAAAACTTCAGCACTCAGTTATAACTTTCATTTATCTAAAGATAATTATTTCGTGACAAACTAATTAGCATATATTTCCCAATTAATAGTTAATTAGCATATGTGAGTTCACCCTCTTCCACCATTAAGATTGAGTCCTAGAACGTGAAGATCCGATTATTAGATCAGAACTTATTATGGGTGGCCTTTTTTTTCATTTTGCGCACAGTACAGGGCATACTATTTTTCAAAAAAAGGTAGTGAGTCAATGCAATATGTGCAGATCAAAATTGAATATTAGGAATGAGTAGTCAGGTTCTGTTGTATGGTTTCTTTCAGAACTACAGTTATAAATATCAGTATAGAAGTTACAGCTGTTACCATTTATTGTGGATTTCAAAATTCATTATGTAATTCAATTTCAAAGAATAAGCTAATATTTCAAATATGAAATATACGATATGTATACATAGTATATAAATAATTTATTACTACTTGATCTATAAAATGTTTTCGACAACAATAATATTTTTCCAAGTCTACTTAATGAAGTTTTTGCTGATTAAAATTTCGATCTGCTGAATTCAGGAACTTCATTTGATTATTATTTTTAAGGGTGAGATTTCTAAAAACTAGTAACGAATACCTCAATCCTTAGTATAAAGTTAAAAAAAACTTTTGTTTTTAATAAAGAGGTAAATATTTCATTTTTATAGAGTTATGTAGTTAGTTGCATTTTCACTCTATACAAAGAAAATAAAACACAAAGAAGGTAAATAGGATTCCTCGCGCAGAAAATTATCCCATTACATTTAGATAAGAATAAAATTTAAATTAGTTTTTATTAATTTTTAAAACTATTTTAAGAATAGGAAATCAATTAAAATTATGCAAACTTTAAAAAGTTTTTCTTAAGGTAAATCCGAATGATCCTTCACTAGCCACAGTGATTTTTTTTAAAAATAAAATCTACACTTTAGGTTTTGCTTTTTTTTTTAAATTTATTGTTTAAATAACAACTACGCGAAATTTTAAACTAAATGAATTAAACAAAAGTAGTCCTTAGTTTAATTAATTTTTAAAAAGGCTTTTAAGTGATGACACAATTTCTTAGACACACTAAAATTAAACTAACATTGAAGTTTGCCTATATTCATGTTTTAATAAAGAATAAATTTCATCATCATCAAAATTTGGGTGCCTGAGTCAGGTTGCGGCCCTTTTCCCAAAAAGTAAATTTATTGAAAAACAATAATTTAAATACACTTTCACGTGAATATCTAGCTTATTTTAAGAAATTTTTAATATGCACGCGTTAAATGCTCTGAAGCAGATACAGTGAATTATAAAATATCTTCATTAAAAGCCACTGAAACATTAACACAAACATTCGTATTTCTCTTAACACAACATAAAGCAAAACAAAATTTGAAACTTACTAATTATATAGTCATATTCGGGTTCCCATTTGTCTTTTAGCAGAGGGGATGCAATATCCTGTACCCTCATGTACATAAGAGCGGCCAAAGGTAAAAGCGAAGGTAAATACTGAAGCACTCCCATGTTTTGACTGATTAAAAATCCTCCATTTATTCGTTGCGAACTAACACCATTCGAAGATTCATCAAGAACATCTCACAACAGACTGCTATTTGGTCAGCAGGTCAGTGTTGCTCGCTCTTGTTTGGGTTAGGGAAGGAAACCAATCATAGGCTTGGAAGTCAGGAAAAGAAATTACCGGAAGGGTTAAAAGTTTTGATGTCAGTGAGGAACTTGCGGGCAAAGATGGTCTCGATTTCATCGAATTTTCGTTGGAGAGAGATAATAGAACTTTCGCACGCGAGAAGAATGCGACAGTAAAACCTTTCTCTACTTATGAAGTGGCAAAAAAAATATTTCTTTCACCAAAACATTATATTGTTTCCTTATTTAATAAAAAAAATTAAGCAGTGGCACAGTTGCGTTTATTTATTCTATATATTTTTGCCTTTCAACCACCGTATTTGTTTTCCATTGCATAAACCGGGGTTCGATTCCCTGGTGGTAAAGAACGGGAGGCTATAAACGAAATGCATTTTATCCGATCCTATGAGAGACTTACATCAGCAAAGTCCCATGAGTGCAGCTGTCGTGTGACATCTACAATCGAATCAAATCAAATCTAACTCTTTTTAACTTTCTGTTTCTGCCTGTGTGTGTGCCCAGTAGGGTGGTTGGGGAATACGAGGCTGATATCGAGTGATCACAAAAATTTACTTACTAAAACACGAGAAATGTTTAGAATGTCTCTGTTTTTAAGATGTCTTTTTGCCGAACACTTGGAAGCGAAGCAGCGGGTTCTAATCCTGGATAGTCTTTCTCTATTTTGTGTTCTTCCATTCGACAAGAGTTTACTAGACACTCTTTGTATTGAACACACAAACCTGTATCTGCATATGTAACAATAAGTATTTAACTGTTAATTTTGCTTGGGATCTTTTCAGTACCTTCAGGGAAAGAATCAGTGATCTCGTCTGTCGCGATTTAGTTTTCGATTTAAGGGATAATTTCCTTCAGTGATTTGTTGTTGTTGTTGTTGTTAATTTACGTCGCACTAGAGCTGCACAATGGGCTATTGGCGACGGTCTGGGAAACATCTCGGAGGATGATCCGAAGACATGCCATCACAATTTTGATCCTCTGTTCAGTGATTTGGAGACTAGAAATTGCGATCGCATTTGTCACAGACCAAGACTTTGTATCTAATCCACTATTCAACTATGTTGACCTGCAGCTTGTAAGTTCGAATAATAAAAAACGCCCTTTCACAAACATTAAAAATGTTAGCGTTCAATTCTAGTTCTAGTTCATTTACGTCACACTAGAGCTGCATAATGGGCAATTGGCGACGGTCTGGGAAGCATCACTGAGGTTGATCCGAAGACATGCCATCACAGTTTTGATCCTCAGCAGAGGGGATGGCACCCCCTCTTCGGTAGACAGACGACCTGCACACGAAGTCAAGCACTTTACGGTAGAACAGTTTAACGAGGACCAATACAGCACACCCTTGGTCCCTACGCAGACTGATTCAAGTGGTGACTACTTGGATCAGTCTGCCACCCGCACACTGACCGCAGCCAGTGATGCTTGACTTCGTTGATCTGCTGGGAACCGTGTCTTAACGATCAGTCCACTGCGGGACTTAATTTTATTTACTTAATACTACTACATTAATTATTTTTTAAAACACTGAAGAAAGATTTCGTAAATAAATATGTAGCTCAATATTTAAACAATTTCATTATACAACCATTGAGATAGAGTTGAAAAAAATTTTATATTTCCTGTTGACTTATTTTGTGACAAACGCATCTCTACCTGAAAAGAAACGTAAACAAGAAATCCGTAACTAAGTACCCCAGTAATTTTTCTTGTCAGACTCAGTTTATAATACCGTTTGGTTTCTTTAAGTTGAGTACTTAATTACGTTTATTGCATGGACACTACATTTGATTTGTTCATTTACGTCGCACTAGAGCTGCACAATGGGCTATTGGCGACGGTCTGGGAAACATCCCTGAGGATGATCCGAAGACATGCCATCACAGTTTTGATCCTCAGCAGAGGGGATGGCATCCCCGCTTCAGTAGCCCGACGACAGTCCACTTCTTAACGATCACTTCACGTGTCTTAACGATCAGTCCAATGCGGGACTTGTTACCGTTCAATTATGAGTTTTTTAATAATTGCGCGTCTTTAATATAATAGTTGTTGGGAAGTATTAATTACGAAACACAGTAAAAATTAATATATATTGAATTTAATTGTTTCATATAGTAATAAATTGAATTATAATTGACAGATTAATAGAAATTTTCAGAGATTTTTCATGAATGATCTTTGTAAGAAAATTTCAGGCAGTTATGAAACTGATAAAAAGATTAATCAGTTTTGTTGCAATTGCCTAAAATTTTCTTATAAAAATCACTCATGGAAAATGTTCGGTCCCGCAGTGCACTGATCTTTAAGACACGGTTCCCAGCAGATCACCGAAGTCAAGCATCACTGGCTACGGTCAGTGTGCGGGTGGGTGACCACTTGGATCAGTCTGCGTAGGGACCGAGGGTGTGCGGGTATGGGTCCTCGTTAAACTGTGCTACCGTAAAGTGCTCGACTTCGCGCGCAGGTTGTCGGGCTACCGAAGCGGGGGTGCCATCCCCTCCGCAGAGGATCAAAATTGTGATGGCATGCCTTCGGATCATCCTCCGAGATGTTTCCCAGACCGTCGCCAATAGCCCATTGTGCAGCTCTAGTGCGACGTAAATTAACAACAACAACAACATGGAAAATGTTCGAAAATTTCAATTAATTCGATCCCAGAAAAAAATAGATATAATTTGATGACAATGATAATGGGCGAGTCAAAGTAAAAAACAAAAACATTTGGGAAAGTTGGGCACGCCCCATAATTTCTATTTTACTTCATTTTATAACCGTCATTGAATGGCTGACCCAATTCTGAGTTTACGACTACCAATGTCCACACTAGCACTCCGTAACTTTTAATTTCGAACCCAATCCAGAAAACAAAGGAACTTCTGTATAAAGTATTAGAAGAATTTTGCTTTCGTGGAGGACTTTTTGATGGAACTAACCCAAATTTGCGTTACATGGAGAGGAGAACCACGAGAACCTCCCACGGTTAGCTTGAGAGCAAGGGGATTCTAACCCATGATCCGTCTGCCACTGAGGATATTTTATGTCAGCACTGTGGTCGGTGTGAGCTGGGTGCGGAATTCGTATCGACCAGCCATCGCTGAGATTCGAACCCGTTCACCTCATTGGAAGGCGAGCCCTCTCTCCCATGAGCCACCACGGCTTGGATCAATGATTGAGATATATTGAATGGCAACATAATGGTTGAAAAAGTGAAGGTTAGTTTCGCTTGTGAAAAGAATCTCTGGTTTTGTTAGCCAAACAATTTGCAACAAGGAGAGTACCGTATTCGAATCCCGGCACGGTTCTTCGTGCTGTCTTTCTGAGAATTGTGCTATTTGCCGTTCTACTTGACAAATGCCGTACTTGTGTAATTGAGCACTCAAGCCTGCATGTGTATGAGCAGCAATAAATAAATAAATACACATGCGATTGCCAACATGAGAAAGTCGAAAGAAAAGAAACTCATTGCTCCCAATAAACAATTAAATAAATAATCTTATCCAAAGAAGCTTCTGTGTTATAAAGTCTTTGAATGAATATTAGTTATAGGTGTTTTCTTAAAATATCTTAAATAGAAGTTCTTGAAAGATATTTTTCGATAAGAAAGTAAAACATTTAATTTTCGTGCATGAAACATAATCCTTCAAAATTAGCTTTTAACTTAACAAAAATCAATAATATCATCCACGGATTTAGTAAGCATCAACAAATAATTGTCAAGTCACGACTGTGTTAACAACTAATCTTTAGTCACTATTCCCAACTTGCTGTTAAAAAGGCCTAGCAAAGGGCTCGAGTTTTTGGTATAGACAGACAGCTAATGTAAGCTAGCTCTGTTCTTCAGGAACAGCTCTTGACAGATGAACCTTTTAATGACATTAGAGGCACAATGGTTCAGGGGATGAGCGTTCGCCTTCCAATGCGGCGAACCGGTTCGAATCCCAGTCGATACGAATTCCGCATCCGGCTTGCACTGACCACAGTGCTGACGTGAAATATCCTCGTAGACGGACCATGGGTTAGAGTCCCCTTGCCGTCAGGCTAAGCGTGGGAGGTTCTCGTGGTCTTCCTCTTCATGTAACGCAAATGCGGGCTAGCTACATCGAAAAGTCCTCCACGAAGACAAATTTCTCCCAATACTTGAACCAGGAGTTCCCTTGTCTTCTGCATTGGGTTCAAAATTATAAGGCTACGGAGTTGAACATTAGAAGTCGTAAACCCATAAAAATTGGGTCGGCTGTTCAACGACGGTTATAAAATTATAAAGGATAGCATTTAACAAACAAGGCTTCCCATTACTGCAAAAAAGATTTCGTAACTTGAAATATCGTTTACACTAATTAATTAGCATATTTAAGGTCAACCGCTCGAACTATTATGATTGTGTCCTATAGAACGTAAAAATCCGATCATTAGAGCAAAATTTATTCTGAGTGATCCGTTTATTTTATTCAAAATAATGCCCTGAGTTGCTGCGGCTTTTTCGCTTAGGTAATGCTACATCAATATTATGTCATTTAATTAATCACAAACCGTTTAATGAAATAATTTATTTTTATTAATTACGTTTTTGATTCTACCTAATGCAGGATAATTTCTCCTATAATTTAGTTTCTTAAATACATTCAATAAGATCTTTTTCATTATCAACGTTATGTTTATCACAAAGTGATCTAAGCAACGATTAATACTTCAAAAATAGAGAAAAGAAACGAAGTGTATAAAATTTTTTTGCTGCTCTGTTTTATTTTTTTCTCTCTCTAATCTAAGTATTGCAATTTTGAGATTTTTGTTGTCTCCCTATATGTTAGATATATGCCACAGTCAAACTAATGCGCCTGGTTATGCTGGTAACAAAGATAATTTGATTATGTTATAAATTATGACACATCATCGAGTCAACCGGTCCCTATTAATAAGTTTTATTGAAATTTCGCAATTTCTAATAATGACCGCTTAACGCTGTTTTTCGAAGTTCTGTCGCCTATGAAAACAAAATCATACTTTAAGTGCCTTACACTTGAAGCAATGCGATGACTTTAATCTATATATACAATCTTGCCGTGAAGAATTATCTGGGCTTTAAAACCGACAAATAA